AAAAGGGAAAAAAGCCCTGGAAGAATTTAAAAACAAAACTACTCAGGTTATTTTCTATTTCACGAAACTCACTTTCAGGAGGGGAAAATTATGGGCATGCAAGGTAATTGGTTTCAGCAGACAATTTTTGCTTCAGCCAAAGAAAAGGGATAAAAAGAGTGGGCATAGTATTTGCTAAACATGTATGTTTCAGATTAATAATCAATTTAAGAAGGAGGGATGGCTTATCCTGTTAAAGGGCACAATTGTTGTGTTATTAATAACAATGGGTTTAGTGTATGCTCCCAATCGAAAGCAAAAAAAACCTCCAAACCCTTTTTTAAGGACTTCTTTAAAATACTGCAACACTTTGGGGAAGGGGGAAATTATACATGAATCCTTTCTGGGACAGATCTGATAGGGAAGCAGAACTGCAACCAGGGGAAAGAGATTACATTGTTATTCATACACTTATCAGTTATATGCTAGACTAGATTTAATGTTAATCTCTAAATCCTTAATGAAGCTGACAAGATCTGCAGAAATTGGCACCATTAGGTCAGATAGTGCACCAGTGGAAGCAATATTAGATAGCTAGTATGGGTCCCAAACATTAATCTTTTGGAAAATGAACTGCTCGCTTCTTCAAGATTTATAAATAAATGATACAGACAATACAAAAAGAGGCCTTCTTTGGGAAGCATGTAAGGCACTGGTTAGGAGGCCAACTGATATGCAGAGCCTTCATCTGAAAAAAAAGAAAGAGCTCAAGAAACGGCAGAACTAAAACAGGAGATAAAAAGGCTACAAGACCTTCATAAAAACACAGGTTCCAAAAAAAGTGTGTGAACAATTAACAAATATGTGGAAATTGAATGTGCTGATGACAGATGCCCCTTAGGTATACAAAGCAAACAGTTTCTGAAAAAGGAAATAAAATTGATAGGTTATTGGCTTGAAAGCTAAAAAGGATTCAAGAGCAATGAATTGTTCCACCAATTAAAAACAATCAGAAAAAAGATATTTCATCAGGGAGTGTAACTATGTGCTAATTTTGCTTTTTATTATAAAACCTTCTTACCTCAGATACTCCAAGCTCTAAAGTTATTCAAAAATATCTGGAAGTAGCAGGCTTGCCAAAGATAAACAAAAATTATAAACTTTAGATAAAGAAATAAAAAGAAAAAATCTGAGCAGCAAAAAGCAAATCATGAAAAGCAGTAAAACTCCAGGATCTGATGGCTTTCCATAATAATTTTACAAGGTACAGCACAACCCAGTTTATCTAATTGGGACTGGAGCCAGATCAGATAATCGGGAGAATGGGAAAGTGCAGGGCTGCAGCGCCATGTAGCGGCCACAAGAGAGATCGCCCACTCCTGGACTTGTGTGCGCTAGTTGTTTGGTTAATACAGAGAGCCGGGTAATGGAGGGTCAGATAAATGGGGTTCTACTTTATTTAAGGAGGTATTAGTGAGTCCCTTGAGAGGTACCTTCAATGCTATTTTGTTAGAGGATAAACTTCCACAACCTATTAAAGAAACTACTGTGGTTATTCTCCCTAAAGCTAGAAAAGACCTTACCTTAAGCAGCTCTTATAAGCCCACATCACTGTTGAATCATGACAAAAATTTTCGTAAAAATACTAGTTAACTGATTGGAGTCCATGCTCTCAGCTTATGTAAATCCAGCTCAAAATGGATACATTAAGGATAGACAAATGTCAGACAGTATTCAGCGAGTTCTTGGGATCATCCACCATACCAGATCACGAAAAGATCCATTTTTTTTTTATCATCCCTTGATGCAGAGAAGGCTGTTGATAGAACAGAATGGAGCTTTCCATTTCAAGCCTTGTCCCGTAGGGACATTGGCCCCAGTTCCTTAAATGGAAAAAAAACTACTCTTGACACCAGCCCCAAAGCAGCTGTGTGAGTTATTGGGGTTAAATCTCGTGTTTGAATTACACAGAAGGACTAGGCAGGGACGTCCATTGCCTCCTTTACTTTTTGCACCGGTCATGGAGCCTTTCACACAATGATGAGAAACAAGGAATCTATCACAGGAATAAAACTTGCAGGAACACATCAGAAAATAGCTTTAAATGCAGATAATGTATTATTTTTATATAAACCAAATATTTCCCTAAAATTAGTTTCTAAAAACAAAAAAAATCCATGACTTTGGGTTAGATTTGAAGTAAATCCTGTCAAATCCAAAAACCTAGCTATAAATTTGTCCAACTCTGAAAAGCTATTCCTCCAGAAAACATTTGGGTACAAATGGGCAACAAATTCTAGAAGACACCTGGGAATTCAAATCTTAAATAGTCTCGAAGAATTCTATGATTTGAATGTCAAACACTACTTCAGCAAATGGCATGCTGGGGGAAGTATGCAATTTTTTTGATTGGGAAGAACAGCTAGGGTCAAAATTAACATTTTGCCAACGATTCTCTTCTTGTTTCAAAATATTTCTTTGATGATTCCAGATAAAACTAGCAGGAATACAGAGTATTAAAATGTATATGGAATAAGACCAAAACAAAGTGAAGATACTTTGTACAAGCCCATTAAAACAGGATGGACTAGCTGGTTTCCAAATATTCTATGATACTATCAAGCCAGCCAGCCCAAAGCAGCAGTGGACAGGAGGCGCTTTAACCCATCCAAACACTTTACTGAGCAAGAATGTTGTGGTGGTGTGTGCATCGCTAGGCTACCATGGATTAATTAAAACAAAAACAAAAACACGCCCTCCAGAAATTTATACACATCCTATAGTAAGGCTACTCTACAGATTTGCGATAGAACTAGATATAAAAGATCTTTTACCTTACCAAAAGATACCCACTGCAAATAATCCAGATATTAACCCAAATTACGAACCAGAGATTCTTTAAAAATTGGGAGAGCCATGGAATATATCTGGTTGACCAGCTACTGAGTAAAGAAACTTTTCTAACTTATTTAGAGATCAAAATTAACTTTAACTGGCCCACTCTCCCATGGTAACAGTACTTTCTAGTTAGACATTCTATTTCTTTCTATTTCTTTCAACTCTTTAGAAAAATTGTTTTATACAGAAACCCAACTTTAATAGAAGTGGTGGCATCTGGTCAATTAGGAAACAAATAGATTATAACTAATTCAATCTTTGCAGACAACTTTCCTAACAAAACATGTCCATGCTAGGAAAAGGACCCGAACAGAAAAATTATTCCAGAGGAATGATGTTGATCTGGAAAAGTGTACCAACAACTTCAGACTGTAGCACAATAAAAGAAAATTACTTTAAGATATTGTTTCAATGGTACCTCACACCAGTCAGGTTATACATACATACATACACACATACATACATACACACACACACACACTGGAATGGGAACAAATGTTGGGAGAAATCATAGTGAAAGAAGAGATTTTATGCATATATGGGGCACATGCCCAGTCATCAGAGAATACTGGGATGTAATCCATCACCAAATATTTTTGGATATTTATTACCAAATGATCCTTTGGTAATCCTCATGTGGCTTCCTAGAGGAAATGGTCACACAAAAAGTAATGAAGAATTAATCTCTCATCTACTAGTAGCTCCTCAGTAACTGATAGACTCTCATTGGAAAAAGAAAAATAGTCCAACTGTAGAGGAATGTCTCAAAAATATGGAAGGCGGTTATTATAGAACAATTAACACACCAGTTATGTACTCAGCAAAATAGACAGAGGACAAATAGATACTTAGATGTTTAGTTACCTTTTATTCAATACTCAGACAAAGTACATTGACCTGCAAAAAACCCCACCACACCTGTTCAATTTTTTTTTGAATATTTACATTTGATAGACATCCTGGTCTGTTAAATATGTGTAATCGGAGATTTCACTCAATTAAATAAAATAACTAAAAACAAAATGTCATAGGTATTGTAATGATGATCACTCTGTAATATGGGAAAGTCCTCCTAAATAGAGATCTGATGTTTATATTCCGGTATAATGTCTCTTTAAACAAAAGCTCATTGTTGTTATGATTATTCTTTTGCTTCCGATATTTACATGGCAAGGATTCTAAACCTGTTAATACTTCCTAAATTAATAAATAGTAAAAAACAACTGCATTTCAATGTAATTCTGAACCAGTACTAAAATACATTCAATGAAGCTCTTCACACATAGTCCTTTAATACTGAACTTTTCAAATTTAAAAATATATTAATTCAGTAAGAAACAGCCAGCTAACAGAGTTCTGGCATTAAAAAATAAATGTTACAGGTTTTTGTTTTTAAAAAGAAAAAACCAACACTTGCAGGTGAAATATTTGTTTTGCCTACTATATTTACAAGAAACACAAAATATTACTTTGACTGAAAGTGATTAAAGAAAATTTTTACTATTTCACTATTCTATTTTTTCCACTTTGTTTATTTTGTGTATTTGACAGCACCACTTTATACATAGTCAATTTCTTCTTTACATTTTGTGGGTTTTACATAAAAAACAAGAGAGAAGACAAATATTTAGGAAAATGTGATTGTAAAACTACAGAAATGGGCAGACACAGTCAGGTATATATATGTAGTACTGGAAACTACTTTCAAATCATTTTTTAAATTGATTACATTTCAAGTTGATGTTGATTTAACATTGGTAGGCCATTGATAACTATTGTTTTAGGTTCTCTGGTTCAGGAAGACTAAGCTTGGAAGGTTTTCTTGGCAATGACAAGGGCTAGAAGCTTAGTTTTTATTTTGAAGTGAAAGATTAAATTTCACAGAAACTAAGAGGTCACCCGTGGACAGACGGAAATACCATGGCTGACTATATGCTGCAATAATTAGCACTCATATGAACAGCCTATCTCCAAAAGCCAAAATAGGTTAGCCGATTTAGTCATTAAAAGGGCAAACACAACTGATATGAACAATTTCTTTACAAAGTTTACAACTAGATCCCAGAGCGAGCAGGTAACAGCTTTCTTTTTGTAAAATAAGATGTGTTATTTCCCTTCCCTACCTGTGCAAGAGCTGGTTTGGGGAAAACATCATCTTTGCTTTCTTCTTTGTTTTTCTCAACTGGAACCCATTCTCCATAGACACTGTCAGCTTCCTTTTTCCTGTGTTGAGACCCAGATGAGACAGGGAACTCCTTTGTCAAAGTTACCTGATTTTTTGGTGCTGGTTTTACGATAGGAGTGGTCTTAAAGAAAAAGAAGCATTTTACGATTAGGAAATGATAAAGCACAATATGCATACATGGTCCTATTCAATAGAAACAATTACTGTAGGTTTTGTGAACACTGAGTGCCAAACACTATTTCAATTTTCTCTCCTGAGCTGGTATTAAAATTAAAACTCTAAAGATACAGTCTCTGAACTAAAAATTGGGAAGATGTTATTTAAAATTTTGAGACTGGATCCTTGTTTCACATATGATGAGTGAAGTGACACCTAAATGGGTAGTTTTTCTTTCAGTTCATAAACAGTGTTAGAATTATTAGGGAGTAAAGGTGCTAAATAAATGAAAATTATTATTGCTGAGGATGAGAACAATACAGGAAATGCCTAATTCTAAAGAATGAAGAAAACATTGATTGCTCTGTGAAAAATCCAAGATGTGACTTTGGACCCTTCCCCCCACATTAAAAAATCATGACGTTTCACAAAATAAAAATAAATGCTTCAACTACGTTAATGGAATACTTGTTGTACTCACACAATTAAAATGATTGCTTTTTAAATCTTCTGGCACATATATAGTTTAAGCATTAAATATGGGGAAAATGCAGGTAAATAAAGAAACTGAAAACTAAGTAACTCAAAGTATCATTTAACAGCATCATCATATCTTTACTTGCTTCTGGAAGAGAATATATTCCTATTCTGTCACAGAGATGACACATTTTGCACTTGTGTTTTATTGAAGTGGACTATCAACGTAGAATGCTACATATACTTAGTTATGGAATAAAACCTGCAAAAACAGAAGATCAAATGTTGTGTGCCCAAGAAAACCAAGACCTAGATGCACTGTCAAAGCTAGATCTTGCCACGTGATGCTTATACAGAATATACAAATATAAAAACAACAGAGAGCAAGTGTGCAGGTATCACTGATTTCAACAGTGTACAGTATATCCAAAATAAAGAGAAGACAGAACGAAGGAACATATAAAGTACATATAAAATTAACTTACTATAGTTCTACAATTAAATTTATACAAAGTAACAACTGTAAGCTATTGTTTGGAAAGCATGTATATAAAGAACAATTATAATTAATACATCAAAAAGAATGTATCTAGTTTTGACTCCTGAACAGTGCCTTCTCTCTCTCTTCCAAAAAAATTCTAAAAACTCATCTATATGAATATACTTCTCTCTTTGTTCTAATAATACTTAGCACTAATATAGTGCTTTCTATCTTCAAATAGCTTTACAATATTATTTATTCCTCAACACTCCTGTGAGGTAGGTAAGGTTTAGACCCATTTTTCACATGGGGAAACAGTCAGAAACATTACATGACTTGCCTAGGCCACAGAAGGAAATGTGTGTCAAAACTAGGATTAGGATTCAGGGGTTCTTAATTCCAAGTCCCATGCTCTCAGGTCTCCCCTCTATCTGTGTATTGCAACATATTTTTCCTGCTTGTGGTTTTACGTTATCAGCTCTTAATGGCAGGGGCTGGCTAAGCACAATTCACTTACTGCATATTGCTGTACTATGTACACTTGTAGTACTATAACAACACCATCTTGATCAATTAAATCTTAGGCAAACCTAGCCAAAGAGAAACCTGCTAGAGTTGTTCACAGATGATGGATTGATGTCCTGGAGGGGATATTAACAGACTCCACCTCTAGATGAGAAGTCAGGAAACTAAGGGCCTACAAGGTACAGTCAATCTGATCACACTAGCAAGAGAGAACACATTGCCATAAAGAACTCTCCTCACCCTCTTCCCCTTGTACTGCATATTCCTTTTGGGAGATTTAATTATATAATGAAAACCAAATACTATTATATTAACAAAAATAAAAAATTAACAGCAATGAAACCATGGGATCTAATTAAACTGAATCAGTTCGCAGACAGAATACAATATACACTGTCCAAAAGCTACACTATCATCTACAATTAATATATTACCAGAAGCTTCTTCAGGTTTACAAAACACATGGCTTATCACCTCACTCCTGGTACAGTTTTTTGTGGATACAGCAAAAATAAAGTCCCAGAGTTTCCTGAGCTGTGTTTAAGGTGATAAAAACTTTTCTTGCATTGTAATAATGCTGACATATAATCCAAAAAATGTTTTAGTTTGAGAAGATGCAAACTCCAGCATTTCTAAGTTCCTTGCTATTTATAGCAGTCTGTGTTGCAACTGAGGATTTCTGCATAGGAAAATAGTACAGGAAAAAGGGTTTTGTTTGTTTTAAGTGGGATGCCTTTCACTCAGCATGAAGGCAACAGTACCAGCAGGCAACAAAGATCCTAGAATATTGGCAAGTCTTTTAGAGAAGCGAGACATTCAATAAGCATATTCCATTTTTCTCTGGTACACCCAGTCCATTAAACTCTTCCTCTGTCCATCAGTATTATTTTGAAATGCTTTGTTGTCCTGTATAAAACTAATTAAATCTGTATGATCTGAAGAAGTTTTCTTCCAGTCACTCACCCACTGTAGAACCGCTTTCATTTTGCCATAGAACTTTTTCAGCATTTCCCACCACCCCCCACTCAGTACCTGAAAGAAGTTCCACAACAGTGTGTAAAGGATTATGCAGCAAGTCCAAACACTTAGACATTGCCATTCTGAGGTGCTGAATGTCCCCAATAAACAAGGAAGTGCATTTGGTAGATTGATTTAAAATGAAGGCAAGTGATGGAGGATGTGCTCTATTCACTGTTCTTGACTCTCTCAATGGAGTTCAATCAAAAACTTAGCCCCCCTAATTAACTATTGTTAAGCCTCTAGTTTCTAAACTGAGCAGCAATGACAGTATCCTTTGCTCAGCCCTCACATGACCGGTGTTTGGTCCTGATCCTGTGAACAGCTAAACACATGAGTAAGAGCTTCTCTATACACAGAGAAGTTATACCAGTAGAAAGTAGTGTATGAATTTAAACTACTGGTTATATTGGTATTACTCCTTGTGTGGACAGACTTATTCTGGACATTCATTTTGGAAGGGATTTAAACTAAGCCAAAAAAAAGCCACTCTTACTCCAAAATAAGAGTGTCCACATGGTAGATAACTTGGCAAAAAATATACCGAAAACTCTCTGTAAGACCATTCCAAACTTCAGTCACAAGTTTTCCACATATTCAAGAATGTTTTAAAGTGGAAAAAATGTTCTATATTTCATTTTCTTTCCACTCATTCAAACCTGAAAAAACAGCTGAAGGTATTTTCTTCAATCTTTCAAAAAATAAAAAAAATCCACTTTTGGGGAGAAGCCAAACAGGGAAAATTTTACCCCAAAGGTGAATACTTCAGAAAGTTTTGAGCATATGAAAACATGAAACCAACAAAAATATATTTGCATTCTAAGCTATAAAGTACCGTATATACTCGATCATAAGCCGGTTCGTTTATAAGCCAACCTCCACCTCCCCCTCCCCCAAGATGGATACGTAAAACTGGAAATTGTTTATAACCCGTTCATAAACCGACCCTATAATTCAGGGGTCAGCAAACTTTGGCTCCCAGGCCATCAGGATAAGCCGCTGGTGGTTCGAGATGGTTTGTTTACCTCAAGCATTCGCAGGCACAGAGGTAAACCTAAGTAAACAAAGCGTCCCGGCGCGCCAACTGCTTACCCTGACCGGCCGGGATAGCAACTGGTGGGGACATTTTTTGGGGGGGGAGAAGCTGGGAGTCAGGGGATAACCCGTGACCACCCCCCACATTACCCTACCCCTAGCCCAGGACCCCCACACTCTCCCCATCCCATCCCTTCCCACCTTATCTGGGAAGGGCCAGGGTAGGATGTCTCTGACCTGGCTGGAGCTGCTCTGGCAGGCTGGGCAGCTCTATCTCTACACCGTTACATTGCCTAATTTATTATTCTGAGCCTTATCTGGGTAACAAATAATACCAGCCTTAAAAACATAGTATTTCATTTAATTGTACGTTTTTTTTATATTCTTCATGACTTTGATCGCCATACCGTGAAGCCTAGTCAGCACTAGGAGCGGAGAGAGATTCAGTCATGCTCAATAAGGATGAAATCTTCAGAGATTTTAGATAAAATATGAAAAAATCTCTACTGAGCATGAGATTTTTCAAGGTGTTATATTTTGGCCATATTTGGTCAGATTTTCAAGGGCACAGCAAGAGGCATATACATCCCTGATACAAAGGCCACATCCCTGCTAAATTTCAAGTCTCTGATTTAAAGCATAGGGGTGCTAAAGCTGTTCAAAAAATAACAAGAGAACCTAAACGGTTGCCAGAATCTTCTAACATGGGCAAAAAAAGTGTATTTTACCTAGGTTCAATTCTCGGAAACAGCTTAACCATTCTGGTTGAAATTTTCCAGAAAAGTATATTCAGCCTTAGGCAGCCATCTGGCATGGAAAACTTCAGCCCAAATGCTTAAAGTTTGGCAAAGTTATAAGCAACTGAAAACATGATCCTATAATGGGAAGTGTCAGGCAACCTCAATAATATACAGCATTCATTACCAGCCCAGGTTTTTAAGAATAAAGACAAATATTGTACTTTGCCTGTATTGCATCTTAAAGGTTGGCACATCTAGGCAGTCTGTCCCCACCCCTACCCCAACCCAACCCCTACATGCCGGGCACCCACTTACAGCTAGGTGCAGGCGTTGAAGACACTGAAATTCGCAGGCAAAGCTGTGACCCCCGCTGCCAGCCCAAGGCAGCCAGAGCAGGAGCAGCACTGGGGTCTGTGCTGCTTTCCCGTAAGCCAGAGGTGCTGTTTTCACGCTCCCCTCCCCCGACCTGGGGGGGGCAGGGGGGAAAGAGAGAGCTGTTTTCACCACCAGTGCCCCTCCCACCCCACACCAATCAGGAGGGGAACAAGCTTGCCCAGGCCGGGAAAGAAGCTGCCTGCAAGGAAGTGTCTAGCTGCCTCTGGAACCTGGCATGGAGTGTGAACTGTTGGAGCCGGAGCTGCGTTTTGTTCAGAGTTACAAACATTTTGGAGTTACAGATAACCTCCATTCCCGAGCTGTCCGCAACTCTGAGGTTCTACTGTAAGTACTGAAAAATTAGCTTTAAAAAACTGTTAAAGGAAATCAGTTATTTTTAAATATATTAATTTTAATCAGACAATGTCTCTAGAAAGAAAAATAGTGAGTTTTAATCTAGCGCCAAAAGTTTCTCTTAACTTAGCCATTGACTTCACTGGGTTTTGACCAGCCTCTTACTATGGCATTCAAGTAGGTATGTTGTTGTTAAAATTTTGTTAACATTCCATTGCAAATCCATGTCAAGATAAAAACTATAATTCTGTAACAAACTAAAATTTCCTCCACTGATAAGGGTCACCAAATTTGTTTTTCCTGTACCTACATAAATTTGCTAAAATAAAACAAAATTAACATTTATAATCTATAATTGATTAAAGTACTTACATTTAAGTTGAAAAAAATGGGTTTAGGTTCATTGAGTTTAAAAGGATGATTGTAGAAAGGGCGTTCTTCCTCCTCTTCATCAGAATCATGAGGCTTGTTCACGATCACGTCATCTGTGCTTTGTGCAATCTTCTTGCATTTCTACCAAAAAATAACTCTGAATCAATCTGAACATCTGGACAGAAACATTCCTTATTTCTACAAGAAATGACAAATTCGTTGAAATAAATATTTAAAATCAGGAATAAAGGAATTATAAAGGAGGAGTTGATCGTTTGGGGAAATCTTAAAAAAAAATTCAACTAGCATGAACGTATACCTCTGCCATTTACTTGTACATTCTCTATCCATTGAAGTGTGTCCATCTTGTCTAGATAGGCTTTGAGCCCTACTCTTCTATCCATCGAGAGGCCTAGTATAATCAAAGGGGCTGCATGGAGCTATTTGAAGGATCCAAGGCTCAAATTATGAGCTCTTCAAAAGCACAGACTGTCTCTTACTATGTGCTTGTACAGCACTAGCACTCAGGACAATGGGGCCCCCTCTCCTGATTGGGGCTTTTAGGCACCACAACATAAATGTTTAATAATAGTAGTAGTAGTAGTAATAGTAATAAATAAAATAATAAATAATTAATAATAATAAAAGACAGCTCACTTATTTAGTTGGTCTGCAAGAAGATTTCCACACAAAATGACTGCAAGGAAAAACCCAAGAAACAATTACTGGTTTTCACTGGCAGTGCAGAAATCTTCCCAGGTGCAAGAGTTTTAAAAGAAAGACTAGGACACCTCTGAAATGTTTTGCAAGTTAGAAGAACTGAACAGGACAATCCCACTTTGCATACTGTGGAAGTGAAACTTAAAAATGTACAGTAAGTGGGGAGGTGCTAAAAATAAATCTATTTGGCAGTCCAAGTTGTTACTCTTCCAAGAATATGTATAAGCAACTTTAGGGTAGGCAGTAACACTGACTGGAATATGAGAGAACAGATATTTTCCTGAAAACAACTGGTGGACTAGCATTTAATAACAAATTACTATTTATTACTTATAGACTGGCTTGTACTTTTTGCTCCAGAGGTATCTGTAACTGCATTGGTTTGAGGTGAGTTTGAGAACATTATAAAGTTGGAAATTCTGACAGCCAAAATAATTAATGGTGTTTTTCTGTCATGAAAAGGAGCAGAGAAAATAGTGGCAATGTCACCATTCATCATTATATATTAGTAACAAATTGGAGACGTTACATGGCTCAGGGGATTGGTAAAAAGATTTAGAGCCAATCATCTATAACTTATTGGTTCAACTCCAGTTCATATCAACAGCAATCAGAAGTTATAACCATTTGATGATTGTTTGATGGCCTATTCGGAGTTGAGAAGGAGCCATACCACAAAAACTACCATTGCAATGGCACACTTCTGGTCAGTCTCAGCAGAAACCAAAAACTGAATATACTTGGAGACTGTGCTATTATCTGTGTCAAGTCCCTCCAAGTCAAGGTTCAAGCACATCTGTGTCGTGGGGCAATGGGGGGGGGAAGCCTGCACTGCCACTATACCGTGTTATACCTAATATGTGGATAGTCAAATTTCAGTCTTTGTTTATGTGAAATGGCACCTTTTCCATGAACACTAAAATTATTATTTTATTTCATAAAAAAGCTTAGATGTCAGAACTGTGATAGTTTTAAAATGACACAATGGCATCTTTGAATAGAAATTTTTCAGTGTGAAAACTTGAGAACACATCCCAGAACTTAGCAAAATCAGACAGCATGAAGTTTCCTGTGACAGAAGAAACAAGGTGCAAAGATTTCTTTCGTGATCTGAACAAAAAACTTTAATATGCTGCAATTGGTACAGGTCATAATTTTAATCATCAAATTCTGACCATGGATATGCATAGGTAAGTCTCACCAAAATCTAGAGGAGCTGACCATGTGCAGTAAAGGATAAAATTTGATTCAGAGAGTAAAAAGTGTGAAATTTTTATATTTTTAAATTATAAAAGTCAGTGACTGACGGCTATAAGATGACAAATATCAAATTTTCCATATTAATATAAGTTGTGAAGAAAACATGATAAACAATTAGGGTTCAATCTTGCAGTCTTCCCACAAGCAGACTTTCAGGAGAATTAAACATACAGAATTACAGCTTGACCAGACACCTAGTTATTAACAGTAACAGTTGGTTAGTTATTTTCAAATTTAATTTCCTTACCTCAGTGAGCTCCTTTATTGTATCTCTTGCTGACTTCTGAGTAACTTTCTCCTCCTTCTTTGCTGGAGCTATAATAGGCAGTAGGCTTGGTGGTAAGGGGACACCAGCCTTAGCACACATGGCAGCTGCATTAGCTTTGGCTATTTCAAGTAGCTGGGCCTTGTCTATAAGAATATTAAATATTAATTAGTGGGCCTTTAAAGATTTCTGAAGGCTGACGTATATGTATAGATATACATATATACCGTATATACTCGATCATAAGCCGGTTCGTTTATAAGCCAATCCCCTCAAGATGGAGACGTAAAAATGGAAATTTTTTATAACCCGTTCATAAACCGTCCCTATAATTCAGGAATCAGCAAACTTTGACTCCCGGGCCATCAGGATAAGCTGCTGGTGGGCTGAGATGGTTTGTTTACCTCGACCGTCCACAGGCACGGAGGTAAACCTAAGTAAACAAAGCGTCCTGGCGCGCCAACTGCTTACCCTCACGGGCCGGGACAGCAACTGGTGGGGAAATTTTTTGCGGGGGAGAAGCTGGGAGTCAGGGAAGTAACCCCTGTGACCACCCCCCACATGACCCCACCCCTAGCCCAGGACCCCCCACAGTCTCCCCATCCCATCCCATCCCTTCCCACCTTATCTGGGGAGGATGTCTCTGGCCTGGCTGGAGCTGCTCCGGCAGGCCGGGCAGTGCAGCGCAGCTGCAGCATGTTCCAGCAGGCTGGGCCGGGCGGCACAGCCCCAGCAGGCCGGGCAGCGCGGCCACAGCCTGCTCTGGGGAGAGTGGGGGGACCAAGCGGCACACGGCTGCAGCCTGCCAGCCCAGGAGCTGCAGCTGCTCCAGAGGCTGGGGGGAGAGCAGCGTGGCCAAAAGCAGAGAGACTCTGGTCCCACCTCTTCCCTTCTGTCTCTGCTGGCTGTGCTGCCTCTCCTTGCTCCCTCTGTTGGGGGGAGGGGCTGTGTCCCACCTCTCCCTCTCTATACCCGTTCATAAGCCGACCCCCTTCTCTGGTGCTTCCCTTTTTTTACTAAAAAAATTCGGCTTATGAACGAGTATATACGGTAATAATTTTAGGGCCTGTTGCAATACTAAATCAGTTTTTCCACCAGGCCAACCAAACTTTATGAAAGTAAAAACAGCACACACACATACACAAAATATTATTCACACTTTATATATATTTAAAAGTAACATGGAACATTGCATTCACTTTTCCTTCATATCACAGGAGGCATATAATTAAAGAGACTTGCATAGGAGGAAAAAATTGGGTCTGTGCATTTTTTTTATTTTTGCTTCTTTATGGTGTATAAAGGCCTAAAGGGTTCCTCCCCCACCCCCAAAAAAGTGTTAGTTTTTTCTGCTTGGTTTTTACTTTAGAAATTCAGGTCTGTGTGACTTGAGAAACAGTGAAACAAAAACTTTACAAGAGTAAGAAAACATGAACTGAGAAGGGAAGAAGTCCTTAAGAATACCTAAAATTCCAAAGAGAGAGAGAAAGAGAGAGAGAGAGTGTGTTTTGGTCAATGCCTATTTAACTTAATTGACTAATTAACATTTTGGAGACATTGTTTAAAGATTCAACATCATGGCCTCTTATATTAAGGTGAACGTTCACAATATTCATCCAATAAGACGTAAAAGGTACTCCCACAAAAACTATAGAAGACCTGAGTTGACATTCCTGATATTTCTCAGGTAAAAGTGAGGGGGAAAGAAGAAGTCATAAAGAAACAAAAATGGGGCACAAGCCCAATTTTTCTGAAATCCTTTGCAGCTCACTTTTAAACCATTCCTTGAAATAATATCTCAAAACACTGAAAGTCAACTAAAAAGGACAATATTAAATATACTGACTATAACCAAAACAATCAGGAATTTAACAAGCATTTTATGTCATAGGTTAAACACTATGAATATATATCTCAAACTGTTAAGAAAATTATTACATATTAAAAATTTTTAAACATGACAAGATTTTGCTTTTTCACGGAAAATAAATGTGGCTTCTAATGTGTAGATGAGTCAGGTAATGGAAATACATGAAGCATATCTGTGTATTCTAATAATTGTGACTCAAACCACTTTCCAAAAAATCCTGCAACAACCAAATAAATGAAGTATCACCACCTTAAGCAAGGAGTTACACAGGTAAACCCTCACATATCAGGATGAGATTCCCCTTACTTTTTAAGCAATGAAAAAGGTCACACAGCTTCATAGCTTGCAGCTACAGAAAGGCCTCCAAGTGAAGCTTTAAGTGAAACTGCAGCGGCAGAAGCTCACCTCCCTGAAAAGTGCTCTCACTCCCCCAGGGAAAGCTGAACATACTGAGTAGGGGCTACATCTCTGCTCATGCTAAACCAGCTCTTGTTTCCGGATATTTTCTCCCTCCACTGGCTCCAACAATGTGGTATGGGTGGGACAAGGCAGCATGCTGAGCTGTTCAACTCTTCATCGTCTCATTTCTTCAGGCAATGAGACTAGCTGGAGTTGGGAACAATTTAATAATCTACCTCCCTCCCCAAATGCCGTGAATATAAAGCTACTCTAGCACCTGTAGTGTGGCTGAGAGAGGGAAAAGACAAAGGAGTGAAGTGAGGGGCATAAGATGTGGCCCAAGGTGAAGTCAGGAAGCAAAGCACACACATAAGGAACAGAAACAAAACTATTCCAAAAATCAGGGAGAATGGATAGGAACAGACAAACCAAAGAAAAATATATAAATGACTTATTTATTTTAGGGTGGGAGTATACTGAAGTTTCTTTCAGCTACCAAAATAACTATTACATCTAATAACCAATAGCAAAAAAGAAACTCAAGAAATATCAACTCCTCACTACAATTCTTCACAGTGGGGATTCCTCCTCTTCCCCAAAGATAAAAATTAAATTGAAGCTCTGCTCCTTGTGGCAGGAAAGAGGCAGAGGATCCAAGAAAACAATGTGTGATATTACTGTTTTTAGCCTTAATTTTTGGTTGGTCTCCATTTTTGCGTAAAGAGATACCCCCCCAGTCATATCAGAGTCTCAAAATCTGTTGCATCTTGCCACACAGTTGAAGAGCTGTTTTCAGTGCTATAATCATATATGTGATGTTTGGTTATGGTCATGCCCTCAATAAAGAGTTTAAGTTCCTCACATTTCTAGGTAAGTCGTCTTCCACATCTTGATCTGGAAGTCATTCCTGATGCAGGCAGCAATCAATGAAGAGCAAATGAACTTCCATATTACAGCTTTCCAGCATCTGGAATAACATCCCAGGTGTCTTGAGTCTTGCCTCTGACTAAGGCTGCCTCAGTCACCAGTCTTATGTGGAAACGTGTAGTTAACATAATGGATTTCTGCTCAACAACTTGGGAACCAGCTAGTTGCATCCAAATATTGCCATGTGATAGCGAATAGAATCATGATACAGAATAGAATATAGGGACACTGACAACCTATGCATGGTGGCAAAGTGAGTAGATCTATTCAATATGCTCAGTGATTTCAGTCCAGCATCCTTACACGGTTCTAACTTAAAAGAAATAGTCTCAATACAGGGAAGCTCAGCTCCTAAGGGGAGTAAGTAAGGAAGAGTTACTAGATTTTTCCTCCTCAAGCCCCATGGAAATTTGGAGTGCATCACATGAATCCTCCAGTTCACATCCTCTGTTAACCAGATTACTTGCTCAGTCCTCTCTGTTTTCATATAAAGTAGGAGGTAGTTTTGAACAGCAACAGAGAAGCTGCGAATGAGGTAAGAGAATTAATATGACTGGCAAAGAAACATTATGCTGACTGTAGAGGACTCCCACATGTATATTTTGTTTTCCATTTTCTTAAATAATGTGCTATATGCTCTTGGGGAAAAAATGAATCTGGTGAATCACTGCATCTTAACAAAAACATTAAGGCCTTGATACTACAATTACAATGTGTGGGCAAATCCTTGTGCACTTGCACCTGAAGACTCATAGCCTCAGTGTTCATCATGAGTGCAGGGGTCTGCCTATGTGGAGTAACCTGTAAAATCCTGTACCCTTCACATTTTTCTGCTGCATTTTCAATCAAACTACACACTTGAATCCTCTTGAATCCCCTAAAAGTGCATACTCAATGCCAACAAAAAGTCTGTTATTAAAATTAAACAATTGCTTAGAAGAGATTCCTGATGAATGCTAGGGTTTCACTCTATTATCTTCATCAGAGGCAGAACAAAGTTTACATAGGTCAACACTACTCAGCCATGAAAATGACTGACGAGAAGAGCATTACTTACCTAAGTCTGTAAGACGTTTAGGTGATCTGCTTGAAAACTTATCGGATGATCTGGACCTTCTCTGACGGTCAGGTGATCTGCTATAGCATCTTCTTCTCCCAGGTGATCTTGATCGTCTTAGTCGAACTGGTGATTTGCTAGAGCTTCGTCTTCTTCCCACTGACCTAGACCGTTTTCGTCGAATAGGTGTTCGACTTCTGGTCCGTAACCTGAGCACTATTCGGTGATCCCTAGAGTTTGATCTTCTTCTTCTTCTATCAGCAGACCTTGATCTATTCCTTTGAGATCTTTTGTGTCTCTCTCTTGATAAAGACCGTCTCCTTTTCGACACTGATCTTGACCGAGTCCTCCTTCTGTGTCTTGAACGTGATAGAGAGCGTGTCCGAGATCGATGATTAGATTTAGATTTTGACAGTCTTTTACGTGTTACTGACCGAGACCGATTTCGTCTAGACCGCGATTCACTATCATGTTTTTGTGGTTTGCGCTCAGAGGATTTAGAACGCTTACTTCTAGACCTCTGTGAAGACTCTTTGCCCTCTACTTTTTCAACTGATTTGGATCTAGACTTGTGACGTTCAGAAGATTTGGAGCGTTTTCTTCTAGACCTTTGTGAAGACGCTTTGCCCTTTGTTTTTTCAACAGATTTCGATCTAGACTTTTGAAGTTCAGGAGATTTGGAGCGGCTACTCCGAGACCTCTGTGAAGAATCTTTGCCCTTTATTTTTTCAACAGATTTGGATCTAGACTTCTGAAGTTCAGGAGATTTGGAGCGGCTACTCCGAGACCTCTGCGAAGAATCTTTGCCCTTTATTTTTTCAACAGATTTGGATCTGGACTTTTGAAGTTCAGGAGACTTGGAGCAGCTACTTCGAGACCTCTGTAAAGGCTCCTGAACCTCTATTTCTTCAACAGAGTTGGATCTGGACTTGTGACGTTCAGAAGACTTGGAGCGGCTACTTCGAGACCTCTGTGAAGGCTCCGCAACCTCTATTTCTTCAACAGATTTGGATCTGGACTTGACACGTTCAGAAGACTTGGAGCGGCTACTTCGAGACCTCTGTGAAAGCTCCTGAACCTCCATTTCTTCATCAGATTTGGATCTGGACTTGTGACGTTCAGAAGACTTGGAGCGGCTACTTCGAGACCTCTGTGAAGGCTCCGCAACCTCTATTTCTTCAACAGATTTGGATCTGGATGTGTGACGTTCAGAAGACTTGGAGCGGCTACTTCGAGACCTCTGTGAAGAATCTTTGCATTCTACTTTTTCAACAGATTTGGATCTAGACATTTGACGTTCCAAAGACTCAGAGCAGCTGCTTTGAGACCTCTCTACAGGCTCCTGAGCTTCTATTTCTTCAACAGATTTGGATTTAGACGTGACACGTTCAGAAGACTTGGAGCGGCTACTTCGAGACCTAAGTGAAAGCTCCTGAACCTCCATTTCTTCATCAGATTTGGATCTGGACTTGTGACGTTCCAAGGACTCCGGGCGGCTGCTTCGAGACCTCTGTGAAGAATCTTTGCATTCTACTTTTTCAACAGATTTGGATCTAGACATTTGACGTTCCAAAGACTCAGAGCGGCTGCTTTGAGACCTCGCTGCAGGCTCCTGAGCTTCTATTTCTTCAACAGATTTGGATTTAGACGTGACACGTTCAGAAGACTTGGAGCGGCTACTTCGAGACCTCTGTGAAGAATCTTTGCATTCTACTTTTTCAACAGATTTGGATCTAGACATTTGACGTTCCAAAGACTCAGAGCGGCTCCTTTGAGACCTCTCTGCAGGCTCCTGAGCTTCTATTTCTTCAACAGATTTGGATTTAGACGTGACACGTTCAGAAGACTTGGAGCGGCTAAGACGAGCCATCGGTGAAGAATCTTTGCCCTCTACTTTTTCAACAGATTTGGATCTAGACTTTTGACGTTCCAAGAACTCCGGGCGGCTGCTTCGAGACCTCTGTGAAGGCTCCTCAACCTCTATTTCTTCAACAGATTTGGATCTGGATGTGTGACGTTCAGAAGATTTGGAGCGGCTACTTCGAGACCTCTGTGAAGAATCTTTGCATTCTACTTTTTCAACAGATTTGGATCTAGACATTTGACGTTCCAAAGACTCAGAGCGGCTCCTTTGAGACCTCTCTGCAGGCTCCTGAGCTTCTATTTCTTCAACAGATTTGGATTTAGACGTGACACGTTCAGAAGACTTGGAGCGGCTACTTC